TTTGTGAAGGTGACCGGAGTTCTTCTCCGGTACACTTCGCACTTGTGAAGAGAACCGGAAGAAGACAATCCCGGGGCTCGGTCCAAGGACAGCGCAATGGCTGGCCTATCTGCAGCAATGAGCTTCGAGCATGGTGATGGAGACGAAGATTACCTCCCAAACGGGAACGAATCTTATGTGACAAATCACCGTCATATCCAGGAACTGCAAAGACTTTCTGCATTCCAGCAGGTGACCACCAAAGTGCCACCATCCTATGATGGACGAAGCAGTTGGCCCGCCTACGAAGATGCGATCGATGACTGATATGACATCACTGAGCTAGATGGAGACAAGTGGCGACAGGCGTGGACCAGCACTTAGAAATCGGCTAGAAGGTGAAGCAGCAATCCACAAGAGGCTCCTGGACAGAGATCGATTGAAGGACCCGAACAACGGAGTGAANNGGGCGCAGCCAATGTGTTCCTCTGCCGCTTCCAGCAGTTCATGAACCTGCACTACGGCAACGGGGACATGCTTCGTTAGATTACCAGCTTTCAACTCTCAGTCCAGAGGATGCAAGAAGCGTGGAACGACAACAATGCAGAGGTCCGAGCCTTTGTTGCAGGACTACCAGCAGAAGAACAAGGAGGCCTTACCAACGATGAGGCGATGGAGAGAGCCAGCGAACGGCTCCGAGACCAGCATGCGCGGACCATTCCGATCACGGCCAACTTAGTGGCCCTCATCTTTGTGTCCCTGTCCGACCTGACTCAGGATCAGCGGCAGGTGTTGACTTGGCACATCGGAACCGTGTGCTGGCAGACTACCGCCTGAACGAACTTCATGAGGTCTATCTCGGGATCTTGTGCACCACAAAGACTTCCGTCGATAATCCTCTCCTCGCTCCCTCAGGTTATGGTGACCGCAAGACCTTCCTAGTGATCGAAGAGGGCTACCTGGACAATCAAGAAGGATACTGGGTCGAGGATGAAGAGGATGGCGCAGAGGGCGTTCTTGAAGCAGATGAAGATGCCTTCTGGGTCTATGACGAGGAAAACTACACGTGGTTCCAGAGAAGATACCAAGGAAGGAAAATGAAGCGTGGATTCAAGGGCCAGCGCAAGGGCAAAGGCAAGGGCCGAAAAGGATC